GAGAGTCAGGACCTCAGTTCTACATCTCACCCAACAGTGACTTTGTTTTACAGCATAGTGTTCCCGTCAATATACCGGTATATTAGGACCCACACAGACCGCAGGGTGAGCTCTCCCTACTGGTCCCACTAACACCTCTTCCAGAAGCGACCACAGCTCTGCCAGGAGGTCTCCCACCCAGGTACTGGCCAGGCTCACACCTGCTGACCTTCCGGGGTTCTGGGTGATATAGCTGCAAGCTTGACCGTCTCAACATTAACTGAAAGGCAAGCAAATATCCTGGTCACTCCCTTCAGAGAATGTACTGACTGGCAACAGCTGTTTACTTGGTAAAAGTGCCCTACTTTTTTATTCCACACCGTCACAGGTCTCAGTGCAGTAGGTGGAAAAACCTGATTTACAAGAAAAGCAGAGTAAATCACATGAGAATGGAAGCTAAAAAGAGCAAACAAAAAAAAAACATACAAAACGTGTATAACAAGAACATTTTATTCAGTAATACCATATATAATGCAATTGCATATCTTTGGCGAAAATAAACTTTATAAACATTTTATTAACAGAGGTTAGCATACAAAAACCAAAGGTTTGTCTGTCTAACAGACATGGCAGACAACAGACGCAAACTGATACTGGATTGGCAGCTTTTAATTAAATGTTAAAAAAAATATCAATCTTTGATTAAATTATAGAATAGATTCAAAAGATTCAGTATGCCAACCCTATATCACTTAACCAGCTTCTAATGTCACCTGGCAAATACTGTCTATGACAAAGTCACCCTGGTTCTTCTGGCTAGTTGGCTAGAAAATACTCAAAGCTTACAATACACTGGTATGTACCACCCCCCCACACACACATGCCTTCAATATCTTTTCACATTGAAGTCCTCTGTGATGATCCTACAGAATGTTCTTCTATAATCTATAGATTTCTACATTTACATTCATAGGGATATTTCCTATTATGTAAATTAACCCTAGAATCATAATGAATATTCACTGTATGTTCCAAAGATAACCAAACTTTCTACTTTTACCTATGGATTTAAGGCTGGTATCACCTTGCTTAGGCAGTCATTTTCAATGAACTTTTAATGAAAACAATAACTGAAAGAGCTTAAGCTCAGAAGTCTGTCCAGGATCCTCATCCTCTGATGGCACTACAATCTGATGGATACTTAATACTAACCCTGGAAGCCAAAATCAAGACCTGGGATGTCTCCCCCACCACAGATGTCCTGGCCAGTTTGGTTTAATTGTTCTAATTGAAAGTGGATTTCTAGGTTGGCAGCTTAAAACTGAAAGTGTGCGGTTACACACATTTATCTTTTATTTAAGTACCCATAAGGAACTAACAATGATTATTATACTTTTCATTTCAAACAGTTAATAAGCAGGTGCACAACCCCAGTCCTGAGGGCTTACATCTCAGACTATCATAAAGGGTCTCTTTATACCTCTAGCAGAACGGTGTCAAACTGGTCCAAATAAGCCTATTACTTTATTAACTGGATAGTTCAGAGTTCAGATAGAAGAAAAACCTGCAGATACTGAGGCCTTCCAGGACTGGACCTGTGCACCTCTGACGTATAAAAGTCATCGTCAATTCTTAAACACGAATTTTGATATCCATAGTAAAGACACAGATAGATACAGCTCTCTTTATAAGGGTTGGTCGGTAAGTTCAAGCAACACATCTACTTTGACTTTTCAGCAGATCTCCTTGACTTCAGTTCACTTCACCTACTTCTGAAGTTATCTAAATCAGCCAAACAAAAGAGCTCTAGAGGTTGCCCTCGCTTGCCTCTTCGTGTTTTGCCTGGAGCACAAACGGGAGTTTTACAGTTGTGTCTCAGGGTCACAACTAGTGGTGAACACTGGTGATCTAGTTGGCTAGATGATAACCAGCAGCTGAGAGTCTGATTCCTTTCATTGAAGCAAAATCACGAGCACCGATATTTCATAGCACGCTTTCTGCATTCTTGACAATACTCATATCCACACCAATTATCATCAAAACTCTTCCAAAGAGGCTTCTGAGATAATCTGGTGACACTAACCCTCCACACATGAACTCAGCAGACATGATGACGTCAAATATAAGGGAATTCCATCACTACATACAACCATCCTATATTGATACATTTTAGTGGGTTTGCCATCTTCTTTGACAAGGGTCAGTTTGTAATGAGCTCCACATTTTATACGGGTGGCAGCTTTACCTCGAAATGTGTACTGTGGCCAAGTAGACAAACATCTCCCATCTCTACCAAATGTCATCTAACAGCCGTTACAGACTTGATGAACAATGTCCGCATGATTCGCACATTTCAATTTATACTTTATCAATCGTTTCCGTCTATACATACAGATCTTTAAAATCCAGGAGAATGGCAAATATAAATATACAAAAGGAAGAGCACCCTAAAAATCATATGAAATTAAAACAACAGCAAATAAAAAAAACATTTATACATAATGTTATCACCCATCCCACCTCAGTAGAGGTGAAGTATATGGCAGTGAGAATGTCACCGACAGCTCTAATCAGAACACTGTCATATCCGTTCCTCGGAGAGAGGGCCAATCACCCCCTGACACACAGGGGCTCAGTAAGTGCTGCAGTCCTCCCTGTGTGATTAATCACCTGTCTTAGCTCAAGCACCGGAGCTGCCAGCTCTTTCTCTGAACACGTTATTCGCCCCTTTCAGCAAAGGGTCAAGGGCAGTATGAGTTATTACAACTTCTGCATCTTCTGTTACCACACTTATGTAACCACTTGGAAAATGTAACAAGGCAGGAAAACAGCTGCAAGGGTGGAGTGGACAGAGGGGTTTGTGGCCTAGGGAAGCCAAGAGGATAAAAGGTACTTCCACTGGGGACCTGGTCAGCTACCAATGGAGTTTCCACATTTGGGCTCCTCTGAGGGACAGGGGTCCACAGGGAAGGGCTATTTCCTAGATCCAAAGCATACATTTTGTTACTCACACTGCTTAAGTACTTCGACCCTGTTTTCCCTGATTTCCTTTATTTTTCTCTGCATTTCTGTTCAGAACTGACCGTGTAACAGCAAGCTGTCTATACATCGTGCAGGTAGTGCACTTTGTGCCATTTCCTCTGGCACCTCAATGACACTATTCCAAAGCCCACGTCAGCTGGCACCTGGGTCTGCATTAAAGCACATGCCGCATGTGACCTCCAGCTGACAGATTCAGGGCTAGTTTCACCTGACCCTCAAACAGTGGGGGCAGCTATATGCGTGAGATGCTTGTGCAAAGGAGAGGAGTGACAACCTACTACCTACACTGGGACAGAGTGCAAAAAAGCTTTCACATAAACTGAAAAAATACTGCGGTTTGTCACGATTTGGCATTAGAAATCAAAGAACAACAGTAAAGAAGACATTAGCGCATATGAACACAGCTTGTTCACCTAGGGAAACTAAAGAAAGAACTGAGGTCTGCCATGCATGTACAGAATCAACCTGTGGGAATGACGACTTGCCCTGGAACCTTTCATATATTTGCATATATTACAGGCATCCCAAACACTCGAACTGCATGATGGGTAGACAACTAAAAGAAACTTCAGTGAAGATCAACACTCAACCCATAACTTAACTAAACTTTCAGAATTTTTTGTGAACGGGAGAAATCAACAATTGTTTTTCTGCTTTCGACAGTGTCTTTGTAAGCTCCTGTCACTATCTCTGTGGTACTTCTCATTACACCGGGATCTCTGCGTCTCTTGTCCATGTATCTCGCTCTGTAGCCCACACGCACACACGCACAGTCACACGCGCTCAAAAGGCAGAGGGGCCGGCGTGTTGTCACCACAGGGATAGCCACTCCACCTCCAACACACCTTGCATAGGATCTGAGCTGAAATCGTCTGAAAGGCTGCCACGATTAACCTGTTTCAGTTTGCACAAAGAAATATGAAAATGAACAAAAACAATGACAACAACAGCCACAATAACAGGGTCTGTTTCTGCTGAAGAAGTTGCGGATGGCCCGTTGAATTCTGAACAGTGGCAGACTCGCTCCCAAATGCACTTTCCAAGATCTGTTTTAAACTTCCTGCTTTAAGTGTCAGGTTTTCAGTATCCGCACGTCCGTCGGGTTATTTCGTTTCTGCTGCCAAGTCCACTTGTTCCTTTGAAGTTCAAACATGAGGCATTTAACTGCTGAAAATGGTTTTGTTAGGAAGCCGAGGTTTAATTGAGGTTTCATTCCGTCTGACAAAGTCCTGCTTCAAGTCACCTCTGCTGCTTCTCTATCATCAGCTCAGACTTTGCATCAACTACCAAACTGCATCTTTCAAGAAAAAGGAAACCCAAAAATTACAATAAAAAAATAAAACGAGAAGTTTTGGAATAATTATTGCATTTCTCTTTGTCTCATAATTATATAACAAAAGTCTTCTAACAAAAACGATGGCAATTGGCAACTTTTTTTTTTCTTTTTTACACCTTGGTAGAAGAAACCGAACTACGACTACAAGATGGATAGGTGTTCCAATTTGTATTTTACATCCATGCACTCATCCTTAGTATAAATATTTTCACTTGTATACGGACAGACTTGAATGGGAAGGAAGCATGCAACTGTCCAATTTCTGAAAACTCCTTTAGGTTTCTGAAGCCTTGAACTGCTCCGACTTCTAAAACCAATTCAAGTCGGCAGCGTTTCTGGAGCCGTTTCCAGTAGCAAAAGTCTCAATATGGCTTTGATCTCCTGTGTGAATGATAATATTGCCATGTGGGGGATATTTTGTGTCAAACAAATGAGATTGATTCACCAAACGTAAGAAAACACCGGGGGGAAGGGAGGAGAGAGGCGCCCTATTTTTTGCTTTTTCTACTCTTGCTCTTGGCTGTGCGTCTGGAGGCATCCAGGCAGGTGCGGATCCCAGCCAGGTGAAGCAACGACCCAGCGGCCTCCTTCAGCTCCTCGTCGATCTCTGGCTTGGCTTCCCTGCGGGCTTTCTTCCCTGGGGGGCCCTTGGCACGGGGCCGGGGGGCACTGCCGCCGCCGCCGCCGCGCTGGGACGCCCCGTACCCGCTGTCCCCCAGCCGCCCCTGCGCCTCCTCCGGCTCCTCCGCCAGGTCGGAGTCCTCGTCGCTGTGGAATCCCTCGCTGCCCGCCCGCCGGGCCTGGGAGGCCGGCTGGTAGCCCTCGTCCAGCGAGGAGAGGGAGGAGGTGCTGCAGCGCGAGACACAGCGCTGGAAGGATGCGCTGTAGTTGTGGTCCTCCTTGGGGTCGCTGCTGACCACTGCCACCTCCGGCCGAGACAGGTCCATCGGCCGGTCCTGTACCGCTCGGCCTGCAGCAAACAAACACAGACAAAGTGCGTGTGAGCGCTCGCCGTCTATCACTCTCACTGATGCAACACTTTCTATCCCTCAAGGAACCCACAGGACCAGAGTGAGGCTTAACAAGTGGCAATCCTTACTGTCCAGGAGTCCATCACAGGTCAAATCAACACACAAGCACTCAGGGAGAATTTAGAGACACCACTGGCTAGCACGTTTTTGGAAGCTGGAAGCAAACTGGAGCAATAGCTGAAAACTACAGGGGTAGCATGTAAAACTTCTCAGGGTAGGCACCCCAGTCTGGAAATCGAGCCCTGGACTCAAGAACACAAGCTATATGAAAAAAATTGATGGCATCAATGCATGTGCCAGCACCAAAGATAACATATTCAACTTCTCAATCTGTACCAGGCCAAGAAGCAGTTTGAAGTCAACCAGCACAAACGGAAAGCTTGCAAACCCAGTGCAGTAACATTTTATTCTCTCTGCCCTTGATCGGTGTCTATTCACTACAGAAAGCAGACAGCTATTATCCAAGACAGATTTGTTCATTAACCAAAATTACAAAGAGGTCCACATGAACTATCAAATTAAATATGATCAAATTATCTTTCCATGGTTTCAAAGAGACAGCTAAGCTGAAGACCACAAAATGAAGACAAAATGTCTTAAAGCTCTTTCATTGATATGCCAATAGCCCAGACTGTCTGTAAATAGAAAAAGCTTTAGTTAAAGTAAGCTACATAGTATTATCAGAGACGGTTTCTCTGTAGACAGTATGCAATTCACTGTCAAAAAGAAACCTCTCAAGGGTTTATGCAGTAATATAAAGCGGAAATATTTTCAGAAAAATTAAGAAATAATCAAGTGACTCCTAGAAAAAAACCTATGTAAAAATATTTGCTTTAAACTCAAGACAAATTCAAGATATAAACATGATAAAAATCATGTGGAGCACCCTAAATCAGTTTTGGCTTTCACTGTGGATTTGGTCAGGAGGTGAAAACCAGACAGTTCATTTCTCTTTCGATTCCCTCTCCCCTGGACTGCCAGCTATGACAATGCACATGGACAGTGTGGTACAGACTGTAGCCCTTGTAAGCTAAATAGCGGAATACAGACTAGAATATTAGGCAATGCTAGAGCAATTACCAGGCTTTCTCTTTATCTCTTCAAGGAACAGACACTGTCAGTGGATTAAAATGACATTACATCCAAACAGAAGCAACATAGACCCCTGTGTGTAATATCCATAACAACTGCAGATCATTCTGGTGAGAAGAGTAAAGCTATGGCAGTTAGCACTTAACATAATCACAGGACAGCTCATTTCGTTCTACATAAATAAATACAAGACAACATCATTCCTAAGTAGCACTACATTTTTTTAATCTTAAAGAGAATGTACTGGAAACAGCCTTCTAATACAGTGTGCACCTGAAAATCAGTACTGCATTCTTCTGTGGATGCAATGATTTTAACATTCAGGAATATTGTTTATGCTTTCAGAACCAGAGGACAATGCATCTTTAATAGCTATAGTAACAAAGGCCTTACATTCCATTCTGTGCTGCTCTGGGGCTGAATTTAAAAGCATCATGGCTGTGGCAGCATCAATATCAGACTCTGCAAAGACAGGGAGAGAACATGCATTAAAGAATATTTACTGTTAGCTCTTAATAAACTGAAGAGAGCTGCTATTCTGTCATAATCCCCAGCTGTGTTGAGAGCTCTTGGGCCCCACGGAGGACAGAAGAGTATAAATTATTAATCTCTATCTGAAAGAGCGAATATTCTTCACTATCAACACTTACACTGGCTGGTGGTGTTCCTGTAGTCAAGGTTACAAAAAGGATAGAGAGAGGGAGAAAGATGGATAGAGTGAAATTCTATACCATAAGGGCTGCTCTGATTGAACTTGGAAACATTGATTATTTGATGGAAGGTGTTGTTATAGTGACATAGGATACATTTTATGAAAAAATATAAAAAACAGATTTAATTGTCACCATATTTAATGTTATCAGTGCACATCCAGTAACTCTGCAGAAAGTATATTACACATCATGTTTGTAGCTGCTCATTTTGAAAACACTGTGCAAACACCATATCTATATGCAAGTTAAAACCGAGCATGTGTGCGAGTCTATTTCAGTTCCCTGGCCAGGTAAATCCTTTGCTATTAGCACAGAGGTCTTCTTAAAAGTGACCTGATGTGCCAATGTACTAAATCACACAGCTCGGACTCATCCATTCCAGATGTGGACAGTGTGCATTTATTTAAAATTGGCTGCCTTGTGGACTGTCCCTTACCGTAAGCTACCAATTCAGTCATGACCTACTGAGTCTAAAGCTACAGACCTAGTTTTTGTGTTCTACCAGAAGCCCACCTAAAGGTGTATGAATGTATAGGAAGAATTGTCTACAATAGAGTAACCAGGTCCGTGTCTCTTATCCACTAAATCTTCTAGCATTACCTATAACACTATCAATTTAACTTCAAGCGAGATTGAGCACAACTCTGCCCATTTTCAACTACAGCTGGATGAGCAGGAAAAAATAACACATCTCAGGACCAGAAGAACTTAGTAAGGTAAAAATGGCATGTTCCCTTGTTGAGCTTTATCATGTTCAATATCTCAGATGTGCCACGAAGCGACCAGCCTTGTAAAGTGATGACAGAGAAATGTGTGTGTTGGGGCCTCACCTTTCAGAGAGCAGCTCTGGTCCTGAGGGATGAGGTGGCGAGGAGGTGAAGATGCACTGCAAGATAAACAGGAAACACAAGCTATAAGGCAGGGTAAGGTTGGGGTAATTTACAAAGACATACACACTGGTTCACTCCAGCATCAATTACTTACACTCAGTGATTTATTCAAATCGCTTTTTACAGTTTTTTGGTTATTTGCATGCCCATGAACTTATAGACAACCGACAAGACTGTAAATACCCAGATCTGTGCCCAGATCTGACAGCAAGCAGTTTTCACCCAGACCTGGTTTCTGAGCAGCAGGCCACAGCCCCACACCCAGGTCCTTCTGCATGAATGAATGCACAAGGGAACACACCAGCCTCAGCACTGCTCTGTCCCTGCTCTCACACTGCACTGCCTGACACCCGGGAAGCACTGTACAGTAGCTCCCTAATTAAGATGCATTTTTGTCTTATATCCTATCCTTTGAAGACATGTGAAAGAATGTCTCTAAAGCAAATATTCCTACCTTTTGTAAATTGCAGCAATAACACTTAAAGTACTACAGACAAGAATTGAGTATCTAGTACCTACAGGGTGCTAGTAAAGGTAGCTGGTCTAATTAAAGAGCTATAAAAGGGGAAACTGCAGACTGTGGACCAATGAACTTTGGCACTCGTGTGAATGGGACCATAGAAAAAGCTTCCCCAGGGACAATAACAGTAGAACAGGGCTCAGTGTTCTAACCAACTGCATCCATGATGGCTTGCAGAGATGAAAGGATGGTAAACAACTATATGACTGCGTTCAGTGTTCACTGTCATTGTCCACATGTTCCCTCTGGTCCTATCTGTGTATGTGCAAATTTACAAAGATCCACACTTTTCCGTCTTTAAGACTCCCATATATGTTAGAGTTCAAATTTTTGACTCCACCACAGTCAGGAGGGATCTGCATGTCCTCCAGGCTAACAGACCAGTCAGTTTATTCTAATGTGTACAGATATTCGACAGGCAGTCAAACCACAACCCGTAATGTTGCAGATGAGCAGAGTTATTGATACATTTTATGTTAGAGTATTTGATGACTTAAACAACTGCAGCCCTGACTTGTTATACTGCCTTAGGCATAAGCTAGGTGGTTGGGGTCTATCCTACAAGCATCCTGCATACATTAATAGAATGATCGACTGCACTGAGAGCACAAGATTAGAGCCTCCTTTACCTGTTGCTCCTCATGCAAGGTTTCTGGGGGAGCACAGTGCAGCATTATTAAACACTGCCACTGCAGCTCACTCTCCCTGCTCCGCACGGTTCACATCAAATATACAACAGAGACACAGCAATAGGCAGACACCCGTGCATTCTAGTGAGCACAGGCTTCAAGTCACACAATACAAGATGGTGACAACACGTATACAGACACCTGCCAAAGACACAGGAAGTCGACCCCAAAGATGTCTCTGTAGAGGCACTGTGCTTCTCCAACCATCAAAAGCAGCTTTGCATTCTCAACCTGGGCACATGTCTCACACTAGAAATACATTTCACACTATTTCTTGCAAAGACCATAATGAGGAAGATCCTACATGTACAAACTGACATGACCACACTGACACATTAATACCAATTTACAACAAGACTAACAAGTCCTTGGCTACGAACACGAGCAGATAGCAAGGACATTTCCAACACATGGAAACTCTATGTGACAAAACATAAACACCTACAGAAAAAAAGATAAACAAATCTTAAGCTGGGCCCAGACAACAGCCAGATATTGTTCTGAAGAAAATGGAGGCACATTTCTACAATACTTAGTATTATTTAAGCTTGTTTTTTTAAAGAAAACAACATGATTTAGTTACAAAAGGTCACACAGATTTCAGGATACAAAATATCAGACTACTTGTAGGCTGTTTCAAGGTGTTGTTTCTTCATGTCTGAGCCTGTGCTGTGGTGCTGCAGTACCTGGGTGGGGAGGCAGGAGGCGTGCAGAAGGCATGGGCACTGGGAAAGTGCTGCTTCTTCAGGGCCTGGATCAGATTGGGTCGGTATTCCGGGTCCACGCACCACAAGGAGCCCTTCCCATTCGCCTGGAAGACAAAAGATAGAAATTAAGAGCTCCTCGACAGCAGGAAAGGGCAGCTGTGCACTGTGAGAGCAGCATGACCTGCGATCTACAGTAACGCTGCTTTGCATCAGTCCGTTCTCCGTCTTGGACCATACCAGTGAGGCCTCAGTAGTGGGATTGTTCCACTACCTGGAAGATAAGTTGGAGTGAAGAACGGGCATGGCCAAGACCACAGCCCCTGTGTTTACCTTGCAGCTGCTACCCTTTGCTAGCTTGACTGTCTGGAGGACTATGGGTAGCTGTTGATTAAAGGTAACGCACTGTGAATGCTAAACAAAATCTCCTATTATTACTCCACACAAACTGCATACAAATAAGGGCTATCAGGTGCCTCCTCGTTGGGCAAGAGGGACACGCTCAGACGCAATTTACACACAGAAGGGGCCACAGAGAGAGGGAAATCTGGGTTCACACACAGGACAAGCAGGACAAAAAAACGGGCACGGTGCAACAACCTTGCAAAATAAATGAACACCAGTTTCAGGTACGCTACTGCAGATTAGACTGGAAAAGACAAGCTGAAAAACAGATTCTAGTTCTTGTTGAATAACCACACCAGTGAAGCAGAAATGGCAAGGTTGCAAAAATGGAACAAACTGAAAATGTCTCTGTGCATGTGTAGCACAACCCACTTAAGTTTCCAGCCCAAAGCAAAAAAAAGACTCACACAATGACACCATTATGGTGGTAAACAGTACTGGAAATTTCCTTCACCCTTCCTCTCTGACACAGACAGCTGAGCATCCTCTCCGCGTAGCACCAACCATCACACCACAGGGTCAATTAATCGGTTGAGCTTCTACTGTACTATATTTGTTCTATAAACGTATATTCAGACCCATACTGAAATAAGCACCCGCTAAATATGCTACTTCTGTTTCACATTTCACCAAAACGCTGCTATGATCACAACTTAAATATTCATGTTCTACATGAACATCAACATTGCGTATTGCACAAAGATTAAGACCAGGTAAAGAGACTACTACATCTAGGCCCAGAATGTCACCTACACATTTTATATTTAAACAACACAAAAGGGGCTATAAGTAAGTAAATGCAAACATAATTTAAAATATATAATGGCCAGAACACATATCTCACTGTGTTCTGATATTTGGTTTGACTGTGAAAGACAGGAAGCGGGGGGGATTGTTTTTTTTTGTTGAGCAATCTGAAAGAGCCCTGCAGATGAAGAGGAATATAACCTTGACTCATATTACCAGCCGCTCATAAACAGGAAGGAGGAAACATCACCATGGCAACAGAAACCAGGCTGTCATCTGACACCAACGCTGCTCAGACACAAGCTGACTGCTGGGAAACTTGCTGCTTTCAAATTAAGGGTAAAAGAGCTGTTCAATTAAACAGCTGTACAAAAATGACTACGCAGGGAACATGTCAGCTCTTCACTGTACTGGAAGTCACACAGAAAACCAAATGCATTAGCATCCTGGTATAAGATGAAGCCTCCAATTATTATTAACTTGAGCAATCTGATCACAGGGAAAGCCCCTGCTCGGGGTTGGCCACTGCTTCACTGTGCTGGATGGAAACCAGCCACACATGAAATATAAACTGATGAATGTCCGAGCCATGGCCTGTGATTTACTGCACACTGGTGACCTGCTGCAGTCTGCCCTGCCTCACACTGTGCCTGCAGTTCATGCTGCAGCAGCTGCAAACACATGGGAGCAGGGGCGATCCTATTTCAGGCAGTTTCACAGATCCGGGCAGAAAACCTCACGGTGCTTTACATAACTGAAATCATTTGTAACAGCGGTGTACTGAAATACTGCCGTAGTCATTTTTTTTAATAAGGAAGTTGACCTTGACAGAATTCCTTTGTTATCGGGAAGCACTGAAGTCAGAGGCATATGACTTATTTTAACACTAAAAGGCATGTGAGACACAATGGCACCGGATATAGTGGCACAGATGTATCTCCTGCTGTCTGTTGCTGTTCACAGCAGTCACTAATCACTTTCACTTTTATGTTTTTGTTCATTTTTCAGCTTTCAAAATTACCCACGTTTTCTCCTGGATTAAATATTCATATGATGAATATTCAGAAAGATTGTTTGGAAAACTATTCCTTTTTTGATAAAGGTATATATTACATTTACTTTTAACTGTTTAATAATGTAATACAAAAATATTAATCTAAAAGCACTCTTGATCTCTCAATCACACCAAATAAGCTAAGAAAGCAGCTGCACAGTGCAGTGGTGCCTCTGGACTTTGCAAATCCTTCAGGCAGTAGCAGCCCTGGAGAATGTCCTGTTTAAGACAGGTGAAACTACATCTCTTTTGTCTTGAGGTTAGGAGATATCAGATATCTTTAGAACACAAGAGAAAGTTCAAAGGAAGAGCATTTAGGACTGAAAACGGGAACTTGTTATGCAGTTGAGAGTGTCTTGATCAGATCACCTAGCCATTGCACAATCTTTCAGAAAATGACTTAATGACCTCCCCAGATCAATCCCAGCAACTAAATAACCAACAGAGGCCAGGTGGGCTCCTCTCAGCAACACTCTTTCTGATGCTTTTAAATGAGGCACAGAGGTGTTGCTATGAGCTTAGCAAGCAGCCCAATGGACCGGTACTGCGGACTCTCTCCTCACCTTTCCCAGGCTCCTCTCCACCTTGCGGAAGCACTTGTTAAGGGACAGGTTGTGACGCACAGAGTTCTTCCACCCCGTGGGGGCGCTCGAGAAGTAGGGGAAGTGCTCTAGGATCCAGCTGTAGATCTCCTTCACGGGCAGACACTTGTTGGGGGACTGCTCGATGGCCATGTAGATGAGCAGGCTGAAGGAGTACGGGGGCTTGGATTTGAGCGAGTCCTTCTCCCTGCCAGCGAGGGAGGAAGAGGAGGAGGAGGAGGAGGAGGAGGAGAAGGAGGGAGGCGGCACTCCGTCGCCCTCGATGTCGAAGAGCGGGCTGACGCTGGGCTGAGCCTCGGACCCCAGCGTGAAGTTCTGCAGCAGGTTCTCGTGCAGCCAGTTGAGGTTGGTGAGCTCCTCGTCGTCCCCCGGGCCCCGGTCCAGGCTGGTGGCGCGGGGGCTGGCGGCGCTCTCGGCCTCGGGCAGCGTGCCCGTCCCGCAGGGAGCCGGCCGCAGCCCCGCCCGCTCCTGCAGTCCCGGCGTTTCTGCTTTCTTATCTGGAGTCATTCCGATTATCGGACCCATTAAACCAGGGGGCTCTGCAAACACAGAGAAGGAAATGGGCATGCAGCAGAGATTTAGTCCACATGCTAGACTGTTAATTTCATTGCCTGCACTCAGATCCTTTCACAATCCTATTAAGCATGCAGGAGAGAAGCAGCTGTAGACTAGACAGACATAGGGGCCGACAGACCTGCAGAATAAAGCTTCTGATGATAAGAATGGCAGCAGGAGCGCTGCTCAGCCACAGTTCAGATGACACTGCCACACCTTACTGGAGAGTTGTGCTTAAATTACACTGCTCCTCTGCAGCTTCACACCAGCACTCAGATTCGGCAAATGCACAAAGTTAACTAACGTACAGCACAGTTCGACTCCAGAGGCCACACATACAAAAACAGGACTCCTCTGCAGAGCTGGTATCGAGGAGCCTAAGTAAAGAATCCCAACCACCTGCTGCAACTCTCCCTGTCTGAGGACTTGATCACGCTCTCAGCTCAGGCTGCTGTCTGATCTCACAGTTGCTCTGACTTGGGATCAAGAGGCACTTCATTTGGCGCGGCTCTCGAAGTTCAAACGAAGGACATCTGAGAAATGTTTAAGTATCTGAGATAATATGCATCCTTCAAAAACCCTCAGAACGACTGACACGAGATATTATAAGAAAACAATGTGGTTGGGAGACGATTTATATACGGAAGAGGAATGCTAACCAGAAGACGTACAAAACATATGAAGTGACAATTGAAATCACTTGCAGCTAATTGAAGGCCCATAAAGCATTTAGACACAGCTCTCATGATTGAAATGGAAGGGACAAATCACTGATATTCTTCTCACTAAATCAGATTTCAACACTGAGCTTTGTGTCAAATTTGAATTATGACTCAACATCTGACTCATAATTTCCACAATGACAAGCCATGTCATTTAAAAAAAAACCTCAGGATCAGGTCCCATTTCTAAATGTTAATTTCTAAAAGAAACACCCACACTTCGACCCCAGCAGCCCTTCAATTTATTTTCTATTAAAGTCCCCTGAATGGAAGGGATCCTCGTGCCTGCAGTCCAACAGTATTTGTGGTAAATGAGAAGCTATGAAAAGAGTGGTGCAAGCTGTAATCGGTTACGTTTTTATCCATTTTTGAAGTCCGCTCAGTTTTCAGCAAAACTGAAATAAAAGTTAATAACTGAAAACGAGTCTGTAACCATGGGAACAGCACACACCATAACACCACTGTATACAACCATGACAAATATGCAGAATACAGCAGTTTACATACTAATTACTTTATAGAAGTAGTTATAGAAGTAGCCAACAGCAAGGTAATAAAATAAAGTATTAGACAAACATTTCTAATTGTTTTATGTCTCTTGTGCACTTATTTGCTGCTACAGCTCACTGGAACATGTAAATCACACCTAAAATATGTCTGAATAGAAATGAAGATTTACCAATGGCGTCCTTTTCTGTACTTTTAACTTAACAACAGTCTACCTGCTTTTAATACTACTACCCATTAATCAGAGCCTTTTCATCTCTGGACGTCAGTCTAACTTGAAGTGCCAGTCCCAGCTGAGATCACAAAACACAGTAACACTCCCACACGACTGATCACAGCCAGCAGCTGACTTGTGCTGATGAGCAAAGGTGACGGAGAATCCTTCCCTAAGGAATGCCCCCACTCCTTTCCTCCATTCACAGCGACAGTGCATTCCCTTTCCTGCGTCACCTGGGCCCACACCACACCGACATACAAGAACGGCAAAGAGGGGGGGGCGGGGGAAACACGCAGAATTTAAAAAGCAAATCTCTCTCCAGCCGTCTTCCAGGAAAGGAGAACGAGTGCTGTGTCTAAAGAAAGGCCCACATGGACCGCGTCAACAGAGGAACGGCTTCAGCTGCGGCAGTGGGGTCCGTGAGCTGCCTGGAGCCCAGCCGTGCCGCCGCGCAGAGCGCATCTCCACCGCAGGGTCACACAATGCACAGCGGCCCCGCCGGCCCACGTGGCCCTGCCCCACTTCTCCATGGCAACCGCCTGTCACTTTAACTTAAAAACGGCAAAAGGAGAGAGAAAAATTAAAACCCTGAGAAGTGTATGATAATAATACTATCAGGGCTGTCTGGCAGCAAACCAGAGTGAGGGCTGCAGTGGGGGAGGGTGGAAGCAGGGAACAGCGCTCTGGAACTGGGTCAATCTGAGGCCAGACTGGGAGACTGCAGAATGGACACCGACAGACAGGACGCCCCGAACACATTCGGGCAGTGTGCAGGGAGACACTGGGGTAGGCCTCTTAGCAAGGGCGTTTTGAAGTACTCCTTCAAAGTTCAAGGTTGAGCAGCGCACAGGACAGAGGCAGACACACAAACTCATTTTTCATTTTGTCGGGCGTATTCCTAAAAGTTCATAAACAGGCTAAAGACATAACCAATACAGGGACCACAGTGCAGTGGGTCCCTGAGAGGACAGAACATTGTGAGCGTGCTCCCGGAAGACACTCTTCTAACCCGGGCAGGAAGCAGGAAGAGGAGGACTCCTGTTTCTCTCTTCTAAACAAACAAAAAGGCTCCGATATGACTGTGGCAGGTATCGAGAAGCAAAGCAACCACAAACAGCAAAGAGCAGTCTCACCCAGCAATGATTCATAGCACTTAGAAAATCAGAGCAATCAAGATGTCATCTACTGAAAGGTTAACCCGGACTCCACTTATAGCACAACCAGAAATTCTTTTCTCCACAGAAGGATCATGCCTCTCAGAAAAATTGCAATAAAAAATGTATCTAGGCTTAAAATGCCAACCCCCCAAAATATTACCAGCCTGTTTCATGAAAAGGAGTGAAGTGCTTTAAAATATCACCGAGGAAAGATTAATTTACCTACATAAATACCTAAGACACATGAGATGGATGGATGTTTCTTGATCAAAACGTGAAAGTTGGAACAATGACTACAACAAATCAAACTCCCGGGAGGCTTCAAAGTCTTTCTTTGAGTAGTGTTGAGTTTTTCTTCTGCCCTGGCATGATGAAGATGATTCTCCAGCACAGACATCTCGTTAGACCTACTGTGTGGGTGCTGTACTGCTTCACTGGTTCCAGTCAGTTCAATCTCAGGCTGCCTTCTTCTTCAGAGCCATAATAGCTGAGTTTCCAAAAGTCACATATCCAATACTGCGAATATTTCTATCCAGTTCATGTTGATTCATTTTCCCCATTATTAACTATTTGTCTTAAGTAAAACTTTTTTTTTATGTTACTGTTCGGCTTTATATGAACTAACAATAAATGTACTATACTGTTCTAAAAATACATGCTGTAAGAATATATACCTATGCTTCACAAAGTCAACCATTCAATCAGATACCACCTACAATAACTGGTACACAGAATAAGGAGAACGTGATGATAAGAATTGTAGTGGGAGTTGTGTGTACCTCACTGTAGATAATGCGTCTTAGCTGCCACAGGGAATGTCACACAATACTGAAATGTTTAAGAGTGTTTATATGGCACTTTAATTTTATATCTTACACACACAAAAGAGCAAGACTAAGCCTCTTCAGGCAGCAGTTTACAGATCGCAGCACTTCAACGTTTTTAAGGTGATATTGTCATTTATCATGTATTATAAACAGGTGATTTAAGCAGCATAGCAATTTAGTATGGCAAAGAGTCATAGCAGGAGCTGTACTGCACAAGGCCGAGAAAGGAAATTTTAAATAATAAGTGCCATTAAAAATGGTCTCAACCTACATAAAATGCACCCATCCTATAAAAGACACAGATTCACACAAATACTTAAATGTAAGCTGAGGGCTGTGCTGACACAGCTGTCCATCTGAGACAGGGCGAGTACCATCTCATTTGTGGGCTTAAAAACAATGTGGTTACTAAACAATAGAAAAAAATAACCAGTTAAATTAAGGATTAAGATGAGAACTAATTTTAAAGGTTATGTAACAGCTAACAACAATTGCAGGCCACAGCTCTATACTCTCGCTGGCCAAGAAACTAAGATCTGTCCAATGAGGGGATGGGTAATGAACTCCTGTTCCAACTGGGGTTTCTCCTCACAGGGGGCCAACGCGGTGTTCAGTGTGTGATTCACAATGTGCACCACTGAGGGGAGGAGAAAGGATTTGTAAACTGGGAAACGGTGTGCAGGAACACAATGCCTGATACAAAGCAGCAGTGGGAAGCACAGGATCGGTCAACACTCCTCCGGAACCCATTTACAGACACTTGGACATTTACTGGGTACAGTACCGAAGTGTGAAGAGCCGGAGCTCCTATCCTCATCTATGAAGACTAAGCATACAGATTATCCACTTATACCCAGCAAGGTGCAAGCTGGGTGGTGGCTCACATTACCAATGCATTCAGCCTAGCAGACAGCTCTCAGAATGGGCCAGGCGGAGAGCTTAATTAACCCCAATTACCAACACAAAGCTCACCTGCCTCAGCCTCTCCATCAGCCAGGGCTTTACAGCTAACACACCCATTTCATTGCAAATTACACAGGCTGGGGGACATTAAAGAGCTCTCAGGCCAACAAAAACACACAGGTGATTTGAATATCTATAGAAAGCAGAGAATTCAACTTCCCACTGAAGTGTTTAATATTGTTACTGGTATTGTTATGCCAAACATCAAAGCCACGGCTCTGAAATGATCCAGTCTTTAATGGCCCACTCCAGGGAAAAAGAAAGGGGATAAATTTAAGCCAAAGTGAAAGCCCAGGTTACTGGTAGTCCATTCCTATGCCTTTCCACAGGTGTCTGCATATTGCTGGAATGTCATTCCAGAGAAACAGAACACATGATAAGAAATGACTTTAAACAAGTCTTAGTTCTCTGCTACAACTGAACATGGATACTAAACTAAAAAGGGTTTCCCCTACTGTTCTTCCCACCATTATACTGCAGTTCCCAAAATGCAATGTGATACATATTAAAACTGGTTAGTATCAGTTCTTGGACTCGGAAGTGTAAAAGATTGTGTATTATCTGTGGCAACTGAAAGACATAAAATATCTG